ATATACTAAAGTACAAGTAATTCAGAATGTTCTACTAGCTACAAGCAATGTCGTTCTAGTAAGTTCTACGCTGAGCGCGTACTTACTCCAACACTCTCCCTCAACGTTGCAACCAATCCTAACACCTTGGCACGGAGTGGTTCAAACTTCGTGTGTGGCAATGCTTTAGTGAGCATGTCCGCGAGGTTATCTTCGCTTGCGCAGTGGGTGACATGGATCTTGTTAGAGACCAAACGTTCACGTACAAAGTGGTGGCGGATGTCAATGTGTTTGGAACGTGCATGGAAGACAGGGTTCTCCGCAAATTTGATAGCGGATTGGTTGTCAACATTGATAGTTGTGGGTTGTGAAGTATTGAGACCAAGTTCAGAAGCGAGTTGGCGAATCCACATCACTTCTCGAGTGGTGTTGGCTAAAGCCATGTACTCTGCTTCCATTGTGGAAAGAGCAACTGTGAGCTGCTTGCGCGAGCTCCAAGACACGGCGGCGCCGGCGTATTGGGTGATGTATCCGGATACAGATCGTTGATTGGACGTGTTGTTAGCCCAGCCAGCATCAGAGTAGACAATGAGGTCCTCTGGAGCTCCGCAGTGCAGCGCTTGGTCAACTGAGCCTTTGAGGTAGCGGAAGACACACTTCAAAGCTGTGCAGTGCTCTTCAGCTGGGCACTGGGAGAACTGAGCCAAGTGCAATACAGTGTATGCTATATCGGGGCGTGTGGCAACGGCTAGGTACATGAGCTTCCCTAGTTCTGAGAGGTACTTCCGACGAAAGGTTTTGTCGCCAATCCGAGGATCCCCAGGCTTCAGCTTCTCAAGCTTCACGTTGGGATCAACTGGGGTGCGCACTGCCTTGCAGTCGCGCATGCCAAAAGCTTCGATGACACTGAGTGCGTAGTTGCGCTGAGAGAGTTGAATGGCGCCGGTCGCTGCGTCACGAACAATTTCCATTCCCAGGATGTGGGAGAGTTCACCAAGGTCAGTGACGGTGAATTGAGCGGCAAGCTTCCCCTTGACCTGAGCAATCTCCTCGTCGGTCGGTGCCATGGTAGTCATGTCATCAACATGCACGGCAACAATAGTTGGCTGCGACTTGGGAGAAGAGCAACAAATATAGACGCATTGATCGGCGAGTAGGCGTGAGAATCCTAGCTTCTCAAACGACGCATTGAGCTTGGTATTTCAAATTTGTTCTGACTGCTTCAGGCCATACAAGGACAGCTTGAGGCGAATAACACGACCTGTTCCATTGTTGAACTTTGGAGGTTGTTCCATGTAGACTTCTTCCTTGAGCTCACCGTTGAGGTATGCTGCAACAATATCTAAGCCATGGATCTTAAGCTTATGTCTCGAAGCAAGAGCTAAGAGGAAGCGGAAAGTTTCCAGGCGGATGGTGGGAGCGAAGGATTGTTTATAATCAATACCTTCAATCTGGAGAAAGCCTTTGGCAATTAATTGTGCCTTCCACTTGATGATGCGGCAAAGAATATCACGCTTGCGTTTGAATACCCAGCGGCAAGGAATAGCCTTTCTGCCTCAAGGCAGATCAACCTTGACCCAGGTACCAAGCCTCTCAAGCTGATTGATTTTGGACGTCATCGCATCGCGGAATTGCGCACTGTCAGGGGCTGCAAGAGCTTCCTTGAGCGACGTGGGGTTGTTCTCAGTTACGCACTCAACTGCCTCAGTGATGAACGCAAAGTCAGTGGCAAGATGAGCATGAGCACAAGTGCGTTTGCCCTTGAGAATGTTGCTTGTGTCAATCTTACTGCTGATATCTCAAGGGGCGATTGTGGGGGCTGGTTCAGGTGATTGAGAGCGGCTGGGTGTGAGAGAAGGGAGGTCAGAGTTGAAGTTGGAGTCAGACTCAATGGCCGGGGTTGGTTCTTGATACGGGGAGCCGTGGAACAGCTTGGGTGGAGGGACATCTTCCTGCAGCTTGCTAGCTGCGGTGGACTCATTCTCCCCCTCAAGCAAAGGAGGATGAGGAGCAAGGGTGACATAATAGTCGCTGTCCTTGCAAATAGGTAGCTCAAAGGTTACATTTCGCGAAGTCTGGACGTTCCTGGTGCCTGGGTTGTAGTAACGGTAGGCACGAGAGTTCTCGGAGAATCCCAAGAAGAAGAAGCGTTGAGACAATGGCATGAGCTTGTGACGTTGAGTGTCCTGGTGAAGAACCCAGATCGGGGCGCCAAAGGGTTGAAGTGCCAATATGTCGGGCTTCTTGCCCCAGAATGCCTCATAGGGAGTAGTGTGCTTCCCCAGTGCCTTGACTGGGCAGCGGTTGCAAATGTAGCACGCGTATGCTACAGCTTCAGGCCAGAGATGGACGGGCAGCTTCTTGTCAAATATCATAGCGCGAGTATATCCAATGAGCGTGCGATTAAGGCACTCAGCAACACCGTTTTGGGAAGATAAATGCGGAGCTGTCAGCTCCCACTCAATCCCTTCGGACTCGAGCCAATCAAGTGTCTCTTGATTAACAAACTCTTTGCCGTTGTCAAAACGGAAGCGCTTGATTGTTTTGTAGGCGTGATTCTGGACAAATGCAACATAGTTCTTGATTGCCTGTAGCACCGTGTTGCCCTGCTTGTCGTTCAAAAACTTCAAGCGAGAATGGGAACTGCAAGCATTGGTGAAGGAGATGAAGTAATGTTTGCCTCGCGGGCCCTTCACGGGCGAAGGTCCCCAGAGATCGGAGTATACCATCTGTCCAATCTCATTGTAGTCCCGCTGTGATTTTTGTGGGAAGGGTCGGACGTGGTCCTTGCCTTTGAGGCAGGCAGTACACTGGCTGGGCTGGCGAGATTTGTCAATGTCCATGCCGTTGACAAGGTTGTGTTGCTTCATCTTTTTGAGTGCATCAAGATGTATGTGTCCAAGGGTTGCATGCCATTTGTCCCAGGAGCGGGTCAGAAAGGCAAATGTGGGCTGAGTAGCGGTGTTGCATACACGGAGACGGTAGATGTGAGCCACTTTGTCTCCGGTGGCAAGAAGTAAGCTGTTGCAAGAACATATTTCAAGCAGAGATTCCTTGAAGTGTACACGGTGGCCTGCATCTGTGACTCTGCCCAAGGAGATGAGATTGAATGGGGCATCAGGACAGTGAATGACGTCTCTAATGGTCCCAGCCTTTGTGTGGCTCCCTAGGGCAAAAGAAAGGCTGATGTTTCCTTTTCCTATGCCTGAAGTCAATCCGAAACCTTTGATGGTATGTGCACCCAAGGTGTAGCAGATGAAAACGGATTTATTG